TCGGTAAAGCTGAGTAAACATATGTAATGCATCGAACATCCATAAAAACTGAATCTAAATTCATAATCAAATCATTTGATATCATGCACACAATGTTCATTTTAGACATTCACAGTTTTGATATTATTCAGTTCATATCAACACATTTTTATTCAATTCAGATATTATTCCAACAGTGCCTTTAAATTATTCTTAATCTAAGGCTAAATAATAACAATACTTTTAGCTATTTTTAGTCTAAGGCCAAATCATAACAATGCTCTTAGCTATTCTTAGTCTAAGGCCAGATCATAACAATGCCCTTAGCTATTCTTAGTAAGACAATTATTAATGAGACACTTAAATTACCATTAGTTTTAGGCAAATGATTTCGGACACTTAACTGTAGTCAGTTAAGTTAATCAAACACTTAAACTATCATTAGTTTAAGTCAAATGATTTCGGGCACTTAACTGTAGCCAGTTAAGACAACAACAATATAGCAATTGATCAACATTGGATTGGGCATTCCCAAACAAGTAATCCTCTAGTTTGGTCTACGAATCTCGTTTATGCATTTATATCTAATTCATCAACTATTCATGTTTTCATAAGTTCATTCTAAGATCTATTCTAGAGGTCTTAGCTAAAAGGTATATATCTTAAAGTCTTCTAGATATTCTTAACAATACACATCATTTTCTTGTTGATTAATTTATTCATTTTGAATTATGGTTCAATAATTCATAATCATAATTTAGTTCATGATAGTCAAACAAACATATCAATTCCATACATTTTTATTTGTCATAATAAAATCATGATCGTTATGTAGTCATAATTACTCGGGTCGTCCATTTGATCATCATAATCAATATTTATTATCAATGATATTCCATTATCCATTATAATAACAATTTATTCAGGATATTATCAAGGTTTGATAATAATAGTCATAATAACATTTATTAACAAATCGCGTTTTTAAAACTAGCTTAATTGAATAAGGTTCCATTCATTTTTGTAGGGAGTAAATAATTTGAGATGGGGTCAATCCCAATTTTAGATGGGGGCATGCAGCCTAAAGCATAAGAATTTTGTTTTTTTAAAAAAGAATTAGTTTAACATCAAAACTTAGTTGGGGGCATTGGCCCCCAATTCTTTGCAAATAGATCCGCCTCTGCAAGGTGCACAATAGAAGCACTCTTTTTATAATTCGTGGTGAAAGAATACTACAATTTCACTACAAAAATCAAACTTTAACATTTTTTAAATGATAGGCGGAGTATTACTTAAAGACCAATATCTTCAGGGTACTATAAGTCAAAACACAGAAGGTACAAGTAACTAGGCAATTCTCAAACCAAACTACCAGAGTAGTTAATTCTTTTTGGACGGGCGAAGTTAATCGTAATCCTCAAACCAAACCTAGTTAGGCTGCGTTCTGTTTACTTGATCATTTTTGGAAACTCTGATATGATCTGATTAAATCTGATCTAGTCTAATATAAATTTGATTTAAACTAAAATTGAAATTATTAATATGATAGTTGGAATAGTAGTAATTAATAATAAGATAAATGTTTGGTTCACAAATAAAATGCTCATAAAATTCATATATTTATTATTTGTGAATTTTTCAATGAAAAATAAAATAATCTTAAATAATTTTAAATGGGGATTTAAAACATACTCCGTAAATTATAAATTTGTGACTATTTTATTTGGAAAGGCAACAATATAGCAATGCCGTAAGAATAAGTAATTGAAAGGATAAAGTTATTTGTACCCCAAACTTTTGTACCCCATTTTGTACACCGCAGGTTTGCACCTACATTTTGTGTTGGTATAAAACTAATTTAAAAAGACATGGATTCAAGAGATGATTTTCCCGCCCATGCGTTATTGCATTAAAAATGGTAATTGTTCACTTAAAATGGTAATGACAAAATGATAATTTTTATTCCATTAACAAATATGGTTATTAATATTACACGGTTCTATCAAAATGGTAATTTTTATTCCATCATTAAATGGCAATTAATGTTACATACAAATGTTACACGGTTCTATCAAAATGGTAATTCTTATCACATTATTATGGTATTAACCATACTAATACAAATGGTAATTTTTATCACACGGTATTAACCATAATATTATAAATGGAAATTAATATTACACGGTATTAACAAATGGTAATTTTTATTCCATTAACAAATGACAATTAATATTACACGGTATTAACCGTAATAATTAGGTTAAAATGGCGGAAAGGTAAGTTAATTATTGTGAAGTGAAATTTATATTACTTTTAACACAAAATGCCTTTAAAAACGTTATATTATTAATCTAAAAAATTATTATTATTATTAATCTAAAAAATGGTTTAAAAACTATAAATATAGTTCCTTTTTTATCACACGATATTTATCAATTCGTATAGTGTATTAATTGTACAATTTCTTACATTATTTTAACCTTTTTTTGGTAAATTTCATAGAGTTTCTTTTTTGGTAAAGGTAAGTTATCCATACTTTATTTAAAAAGACATGGAGTCAATATTGCATTTTCCCGCCTAAAGAGTATGACCATTGCATATGATAATGTGAAGTTAAAATGGCAAGTGTCTGAATTTATAGTAATATAAAATTTACGTTTTATAAGTATAATTATTATAAAATATTTATAATAATTAAGTTTCATTTTTAATGTCCGAAATTTATACGAGCAAGAAAGGTAGGTTATAAAAAATATTTATAAACTTTAATACATGCCAATCAATGCTATTAAAAACGTGTGTATGATTATTATTATCATAATTATATAATTATATGATTACCGTGTGACTAGGTTATATAAAAAATGTGTGTATAATTATAGTACGGAGTATAATATAATTATGGTAAGAATAATTATACACATAGTTTTGAAAAAATTAATACGATAAAAGCCTTTATATATATATATATATATATATATATATATATATATATATATATATATATATACATGTTTAATAGCAAGAAAGGTAATAACCAAAAGTATAATAATTATTATTCCATGTAATTATTACCTATATAAATGGTAAGTGTCCAAAATTATAGTGTCCATTTTTAACCCATGCACAAAATATGACCATTACATATGGTAATTTTGAAATTAAATGGTAAGTGTCGAAATTAAAGTAATATAAAATGGTAATTGTGAAATTAATATAATTATTATTTTTGTAAGTATGGTAAAAAATAATTATTTTTACAAGTGTCCAAAATTATGATATTAAGCACGCTATTAATGAAATCTAATTAATTATTATTTCAAATTAATTATAGTAATTTTAGTTATAATAATTTCAATTAAAATTGTATATTACGTGTGATTACTGTGTCAAATTAATTATAGTAATTAAATGTTAGTTACCGTGTAAAATTAATTATATTAATTTCAAATATAGTAATTTTAATTAAAATTTTATATTACGCAATTAAAAATCTAATATTACGTGTGACTACATAATTGTATATTAATTACCGTGTCAAATTAATAATATTAATTTTAAGTATAATAATTTTATAATGGCTATATTTTAATTATAGTGCATATATTTTATAATTGTAATATTTTACTATATTTTAATTATAGTAATTTTAATAAAAAAAGATAATAGTTAACGAAGGTATTAATTATATAACACTGTGACTACATAATTGTATACTCCGTATTAATTACCGTGTCATTTTAATTATATTAATTATAAATATAATAATTTAAATAATTAGTAATTGTTAAGTATTTAAAGATGGAAAGAAATTAAAGTGCTTGAAATTATAGTAATATAAAATGAACTATAACTATTGTAAGAATTAAATATCCCTTAAATATATATATTTACGTTTAATAGCTAGAAAGGTAATAACTAAGAAAGGAAATAATTAACTTTCAATTTTAAAGTGTCCGAAATTATACTAGCAAGAAAGGTAATAAAAAAGGTAATAATTAACCATAGTATTAATTATGTAACCGTGTGACTAAATAATTGTATATTAGTTATTGTGTCAAATTAATTATAGTAATTTTATAATGGCTATATTTTAATTATTGTGACTATATTTTATAATTGCTATATTTTACGATATTTTAATTATAGTAATTTTAATCAAAAAAGGTAATAATTAACTAAGGTATTAATTATATAACCGTGTGACTAGATAATTGTATACTCCATATTAATTACTGCGTCATTTTATTTATAGTGATTTTTATTATAGTAATTTTAAATATAATAATTTAAATAGTTTAAGTATAGTAATAATAATTTAAATTCATTATAGCACTTTTAAAAATAATATTTTTTAAACCCCGTATGCAAAAATCATGTTATAAATACATCCATTTACCAAGCTTTCATAGCCATTACAATCATCGTGAATTTTTTTCCCCTACGTTTCAAAATTGTCATTCCTACGAAAAATGGGTATCTTAACTGGTTTGAAAAATGTTGATGAGTGGTCATCACATATTTCCGTAACAATAATCCAACATGTTTTAGTCACGGACAACTCTATGTTGCAGTTTCAAAAGTAACTAATCGTAGTGGGTTGAAGATTCTAATATTCAATGAAGACATTATTCCCATAAATTGTTCAAATAATGTAGTCTATAAAGAAGTCTTTCAAAATTTGTAAAGCAGTGATATTTTGTATCTTAAAATAATATAATCTCTATATTTTATTGCATCTCATTTTTTATCATTGAAAAATGATTTGAATTTAATAACATAAAAATGACCCGTGCAACGCACGGGTGTAATACTAGTGTCAGTGTAAACTATCAAAATGTTTGTGTATAACTCTGAGGTACAATTTTTGGTGCAAATGTAGCATGACCCTAATTGAAATCCTAGGTACCAAGCTGGCTTCATTTTGATTCAACATTGCCTCCTGGTCGTCTTGATCATAGAGAGCTGGATCGCAGTCCCTTCCTCTTTTTAGCAGACAAACGAGCGAATAGGCCATAAGAGAACGGAAACTGATGTCTATTGGGCCTTTTCCAATCTCCATCCGTAGCAGCATACAATCAAGCAGCGCAGCAACTCCAGATTCCAGCCAAGCAGACGCAACCAGAACCACCATTGCAGCTCCCCTCAGCTCCGGCGAGGAAGTGTAGCAGACCAGCAGCTCCGTCTCCAGCACAGAGATTCTTACCAGCAACAGGCGCATCTTAGAAACGAAATCAGCAGAATCAGCGAAGAAAATCAGTTTTGAACTTAAAAAGCGCGGTAAACAGGGTACTTTGCTTAGTCCCTCTAGATTAGTTCGTTTTTCTGCAAGAATATAGGGTTTTCTAGTTGTATGTTGTTTCAAATGTGAGTTGCATTTACGTATTTTCTCAAATTCACGGTGATTGTTGCTGCGGCATTGTTTTCTGACTACTGAGAATCTGAATCTGGTTTGTAAAGCTTTTCAGTTTATAATGTTGTTGCTAAATTATTTTAATCTTGTGTTTAAGTTCAGCATGAGCGAGTAATTGCGTATGTGGTTTGGTCTATTGTTAATGGATTAGGCTAGTAAAACTTGATTTTTTGGCTGAACAGGGTTTAAATCATTTCAGTTTAAGTTTATGATGTTCGTGTTGATGTTGATTTTTTTATTTTATGTCTAAATTCAGCATGAGCGAGTAATTTCGTATGTGGTTTGGTCTATTGTGATATTGTGAATGGATTATTATTAGGCTTGTGAAACTGGATTTTTTGGCTGAACAGTGTTTAAATCAGATCTGAATTTGACAATGTTAGGTTTTAATATTTAAATTGGTATAAGACGATTTTGACTAACACAAGCACTTAGTCTAATAAATCTTAAACCATAGTTTTACTGCTTTTTTACTTATCTAATGATTCTTAACAAGTTGGAGTCGCCAAGTTGGCTAACACTCCACACTTAAGTCTCTCCTCTTGTGGGAGCTGGGAGGTTTTGAGTTTGAGTCACCAAGGAGGATAGGTTGGGATTTACTAATAGAGGGTGTATAAGCTACAGAGCACATTAAAATATCTGCATTTTAATTTCAATATTATCTATAACTTTAAGAATATCTCTGTGTTCGGCAGTTTTTTATTGTGCTATTTCCAATTCTATACATTGTTATTTGTATCTCTTATAAAATAAGTAACCACCTTTCTATTTAATTTTTTATAGATAGATTTGTAGATGTTCCTCACTGTCTAATTTTTGTGCTGTTTCCATTCACGCAGGGAAGGACTAGATCAGACCCTAAGATATGGTGCAGTACAATTTTAAAAAGATCACCATTGTGCCCAACGGGAAGGACTTTGTGGATATCATTCTCTCACGCACACAAAGGCAGACACCCACTGTTGTTCACAAGGGTTATGCAATGTCCCGTATCCGTCAGTTTTATATGCGCAAAGTGAAATATACTCAAACAAATTTCCACGAAAAGCTTTCTACCATTATCGATGAGTTCCCAAGGCTTGATGATATCCACCCTTTTTATGGGGATCTGCTTCATGTCCTCTATAACAAAGACCATTACAAGCTTGCCCTTGGGCAAATAAACACTGCAAGGAATTTGATTTCTAAAATTGCTAAGGATTACTTGAAAATGTTGAAGTATGGTGATTCGCTGTACCGTTGCAAGTCTTTGAAGATTGCTGCTCTGGGACGCATGTGTACTGTGATAAAGCGAATCACGCCCAGTCTAGCTTATCTTGAGCAGATCAGGCAGCACATGTCAAGATTGCCTTCGATTGATCCAAACACAAGGACACTTTTGATTTGTGGGTACCCAAATGTTGGTAAGAGCTCTTT